TGAGTGCTGTGAAGTGTGTAAACCTGGCGATTCACAGACCTGTACCCCTGGGGATAAAAAGATATTATATGTTTATGAAAAATAAAATAAAATAAAAAAAAAAAGAATTTGCTACAGCTGAGCTCACAGAGGTTGCTGCCTGTGTTCTCCACGAGGATTTTGATGGTTTCCTTCCTCACAATTAGGTCCTTCCTTCATTTTTGAACTTACTTTTGTGTATGGCGTACGGAAGTGGTCCGGTTTCATTCCTTTGCATGTTGCTGTCCAGTTTTCCCAGCACCATTTGTAGAGGAGACCCATCTTTTTTTCCATTGGATATTCTTTCCTGCTTTGTTAAAGATGAGTGGACCATATAGTTGCGGGCCCATTTCTGAGTTTTCCGTTCTGTTCCATTAATCTGTATGTCTGTTTTGTGCCAGGACCATACTGTCTTGAGGATTTCAGCATTGTAATAGAGCTGGAAGTCTGGAATCGTGAAGCCCCCACCTTTGGTTTTCTTTTTCAGGATCACTTTGGCTATTCGGGGTCTTTTATGGTTCCATGCAAATTTTAGGATTATTTGTTCTAGCTCTGTGAAAGATGCTAGTGTTATTTTGATAGGGATTGCATCAAATGTGCAGATTGCTTTGGGTAGTACAGACGTTTTAATGATGTTTGTCCTTCCAATCCAGGAACATGGAATGTTTTTCAACTTCTTTGTGTCCTCTTTAATTTCTTTCATAAGTATTCCCTAGTTTTTAAAATACAGATTTTCACCTCTTTAGTTAGGTTTATTCCTAGGTATCTTACTGTCTTTGATGGAATTGTAAATGGGATGGATTCTTTAATTTCTGTTTCTGCTGCTTATTCATTGGTGTATAGAAATACAACAGATTTTTGTACATTGATTTTATATCCTACGACTTTGCTGAATTCATGTCTTAGTTCTAGCAGTGTTTTGGTGGAATCTTTTTTTTTTTTTTTTAGAAGTAGGCTCCATGCCCAGTGTGGAGCCCAATGTGGGGCTTGAACTCTCAACTCTGAGATCAAGACCTGAGATGAGATTAGGAGTTGGACACTTAACAAACTGAGCCACCCAGGGGCCCCTGGTGGCACGTCTTTTGTGATATTTATTATAAGTGATGCCAAGTGACCCTGTCAGTGGGAATTGAAAAAGTAAAAGATTGCCCAAGAGGAAGGAAGTAACAGCAGAAGTATGTTACAGTTTGTAATAACAGCTCAGTTTTAAAACCAGAAATCAAAAAAAGCCTTGCTGTATAAAACTGTCACATGTAGATTTGTGCTTACATCTTGAGTTACAGTTTGTAGAAAAGAATTAGATTAATCATAATTTTTTTTTTTCTAGGTAATTTTGTGAGAAAAATTTTGCAGCCTGCTTTTCATTTAATTGGCAGGGAAAATGACGATAGTACTTCAGAGACTGCAGGCCATGAATTTTCCCGTTTTCCTGAAACACCAATTAAACAAGGAATTTCCTGTAGCAAAATGTCCTCAGATACAGACAGAGGAGAGAGCTGGGCCTGGAATTCAAAGGAACCGGAGAGCCCGGGCTCAGCTGAGCTGAACAGTCCTGACCTATCATTTTTAGTTGTGAAGAATAATGTAGGAGAAAAGCATCTTTTCGTAGACCTCGGTAAGTGAGATTGCCAGCTCTCTGCTGGACTGTCCTTTTGTACCTCCCCGAGCAACCCATCAGTGCCCATCCGTCACTTTGCTGAGGATTCTTGCTGCCACCACCACTCCATAGCGACCGTGGAATCACTAGCAGAATGTGCCCCGTGAGCGAGGGTGCTGGAACATGACGAGGCTTCTGTTCTGAGGTCCTAGAGGGGTCCCTGCGGGACAGAGGCCCCAGGATGCCCTGAGTTCCAAAAGTGAATCGTCGGAGCTGGCACTTCCTCCGAAACGTCCAGAGGATTTGTGTCGGGCAAGTCTTGACAGGGGACAAGTGGACCAGTGCTCTCCAGTACTGGTAACAGGTTTCATTAGAACAGATATGGTAGAAAAATGGTCCTTTTATGTGGCAAAACAAGGCCAGTGGTTCTTCACTGAAGAGCTTTGCAGTGAGTGGTAGGGGTCATCTCGCCGCTCTTTGCCTGTCCTCACACTGGCTGTTTCATGCACACTTTCTTCGACGCTCCTTGCTTTTGGTCTACCAACCTGAGGACGTATGAGCACTGGGCAGAATGCAGCCTGGTTGGGTAACACATGGGCCACTCGGGGCCCCTCATTCAACCGGCTCCAGTCTGGTCAACTAAACCTCATTCTTTAAGATTTTTTAAGTAGGCTTCACGCCCAGTGCAGGGCCCAGCGTGGGGCTTGAACTCATGACTCTTGAGATCAAGACCTAAGCTGCAGTCAAGAGTCGGACGCCCGACTGACGGAGCCATGCAGGCGCCCCTAAACCTCATTTTTATACTGTGGCTCTAGCTTGTGGTTTGAAAGCTGTTAAGAGCACATTTTGCCACTGAGGGTTGGAGCAGCTGAGAGGGTGTCAGTGTCTAGAGGCTGGAGGAAACTAGGTTTAGCCTACAGGCAGGGTAATCCAGCCAGCCAGGCCAAGGGTAGGGAAGCGTTCCTGCTGCACTCTACCTTCCTAGCTAGCTACCCTGACAACCAGGTGCCAGAATTTGGAAATACAGTCAGATCCGCGGATTGCAGTGGTCTGGGTGTAAACAGCACAGGTTACGAATAGAGGAGCATTCTTCCAAATGACCAGTTTTGTTCTGTTAGGGGAATAGCCTCTCGAGGTTGTGCGAGTATGCAGTAAACTAGGGAGAAGGCCTGATGGGAAGTGATTCAGGGGGAGCAAAATAGCTGATCTCTGTACTCTGCCTCGACCCCAGTATTGAAGACCCGAAACAGAATACCCCAATTCATGATGGTTAGCCTTAAAAATTAGTTTACTGGGGCACCTGGGTGGCTCAGTGGATTAAGCCTCTGCCTTCAGCTCAGGTCATGATCTCAGGCTTCTGGGATCGAGCCCCACATCGGGCTCTCTGCTCGGCAGGGAGCCTGCTTCCCCTCCCCTCTCTGCCTGCCTCTCTGCCTACTTGTGATCTCTCTCCCTCTGTCGAATAAATAAATAAAATCTTAAAAAAAAAAAAAGTTTACCACACCAGCAAGGAAATTTCCATGATATGCTTGAAAGAAAGATTTCAAGAGTATACCCAGAATTATTTATATACCGAAAAGGACATTCCTTAAGGTGTCTTTTGAAAAGGACAGGGATTTAATAGTACACGCTGACATTTTTTTTTTAAGACTTTATTTTTTTAAAGTTATCTCGATCCCCAGCGTGAGGCACGAACTCACAACCCCGAGATCAAAAGTCACATGTTCTACTGACAGAGCCAGTCAGCCACCCCCAAAATTTTTTGAGGAAACTTTTTATTGAAGTATAACATTCAAACAGAAACGTGGCTAATTTGTGAGTGTGCAGGTCAGTGAATTATCACAAAATGAACATACCCTTGTCACCACGCCACCCTAGATGAGAAATAGAAGATTATCGGGATCCCAGAACCTCCTCCCTGTTTCTTCTAGTGAGTCCTCTTCCTCCTCCCCACAGGTGACTGCTAATCCATTCTCTAACACTGTTTTTGCCTGTTTTGCCTATTTCTGAACTTTATCTTTGGAATCCTATAGTATTTGTGGCTTGCCTTTTCACTCTCTTAATGGTGTCTTTGGTGAATGAAAGTAACTTTAAATAATAGTAGTCTGATTGACCATTTTCCTCTTAGTGTTTCTTGTATCTTGTTAAATCTTTCATTATCCCCAAATTATGAAGATATTTTCCTATCTATAAGACTTATTTTTTTACCTTTTATATTTAGATCTACAGTCCACTTGGAGTGGATTTTTGCCTGTTCTTTGAAGAGGAGTTAAGATTCTTTTTTTTTTTCCATATATGAATATCCATTTGTCTCAACACTGTTGAAATAACAGTCCTTTTCCTATAAGGACATCTTTGTCATAAGTCAATTGTCTATATATGTTTTGTCTTTTCCCGGATTATGTTCTGTTCCATTGTTGTATTGATCTGTTTTTGTGCCATTACCATTACTGTCTTAATACAGGTTTTTTTTAAGTCTTGATATCCGGTAGAATAACCCACCAACTTTGTTTTTTGAAATTTCTTGGCCGTTCTTGACCGCTTGTACTTCCATTTAAATTTTAGAATCAACTTGTCAGGTTACACACACACATGCACACACATAGCTAGAATTTTGATTTAGTTTGCATTGAATCTAGAGATCAACTTGGGAAGAATTGACATTTTTATGATATTTAGTGTTCCAGTTTGTGAACATGCTTTGTCATTCCACTAACACAGATGTTCTCTAATTTCTCTCAATGTTTTATAATTTTCTAAACAGAGAACTTACACATCTTTTGTTAGATTTATTCTAGGTTTTTGTTTTTGAGGGGTTTTTTGGTTTTGTTTTTTGTTTTTTGTTTTTTTTTGGCTTAAACAACAAACATTCCTTTCTCACAGCTGTGGAGGATAGAAGTGCAAGGTTAGGGTGCCAGCATGCGTGGGTTTTGGTGAAATCCCTGTCCTGGTTTACAGATCACAGTCTTCTCATTGTATGCTCACATAGTGGGGAGAGAACAATATTTGATTTTTTTGATGCCTCCCTTTTGGGATTTTTGACACCGAAAATACTCACTGCCTTGGAAGCTCTTTAATAGTCTCAAACTTTTTTTCCTAAATGATTTGCCCAACTTTACTATTTATTTACAACAGGAGGGTTACCCCCAAATAATCTTGTCTCGTTTTCTGTTTCTGCTTGTGGCATCTTCCATACCAACTCAACTTTATCTTAAGTTATGTATTGCTTTTCTTTTGTTTACAGCTAATAGAAAATAATTATTTTTTCATTTTTATTTTTGTTTATGTGAACATGAGTTTTTCTCCCACCTTCATTTTTTTATTGAGGTGTAATTGACATGCCACATTACATTAATTTCAGGTGGTCACCATAGTGATCTGAATTTGTATATATTGCAAAATGATCAGCACAGTAGCTCTATACTTAATTACAGAATATTTTTCTTCTGATGACAATTTCTAAGGTAATACTCTTTTAGCAACTTTCAAATATGCAATACAATGTTATTAACTATATGTGCCATGCTGTACATTACATCCCCATGACTTATGTTATAACTGAAGTTTGTGTTTTTTTTTTTTAAGTTACATTAAGGCAGGGATTTTTTTTTTTTTTTTTAAGATTTCATTTATTTACCTGACACAGAGAGAGAGATCACAAGTAGGCAGAGAGGCAAACAGAGAGAGAAGAGGAAGCAGGCTCCCCGCTAAGCAGAGAGCCTGATGCGGGGCTCGATCCGAGGACCCCGACATCATGACCCGAGCTGAAGGCAGAGGCTTAACCCACTGAGCCATCCAGGCACCCTGAAGTTTGTGTTTTTTGACTCCCTTTACCCATTGGCCTACCCCCACCTCCCCACCTCAAGCAACCACCAGTCTGTTCTCTGTATTTACTGGCCTGGGTTGTTTTTTTCTTTAATTTTTAGATTCTTTGTATAAGTGATATGGTATTTGTCTTTCCCTGTCTTATTTCACTTAGCATAATGCCCTTAAGGTCCACCTGTGTTGTCACAAATGGCGGGATTTCTCTCGCTCTTTTTTTTTAATGGTTAAATCATATTCCGTTTTGTGGAGACACATACATTTTTTTTCTTGTTTGATTTTCTTTATTCATTCATCTGTCCACAAGACAGTTTGTTTCCATATCGTGGCTATTGTAAGTAATGCTGCAGTGGATATGGTGATGCGTCTGTCTTTTTGAGTTAGTATTTTTATTTTATTCAGATAAATACCCAGAAATAGAATTGCTGGGTCATGCAACAGTTCTATTTTTAATTTTTTGAGGAACCTCCATACTGTTTACCCCAGTGGCTGCACCAATTTGCATTCCTGCCAACAGTGCACAAGGGTTCCCTTTTCTCCACATCCTCATCAGCGATGTTATTTCTTGTCTTTTTGATATATCCACTCTGACAGGTGTGAGGTGAGATGTCATTGTGATTTTGATCTGTATTTCCCTGATGATTAGGGATATCGAACATCTCTTGGCCATCTGCATGTCTTCTACAGAGAAATGTCTATTCAGATCCTCTGCCAAATTTTTAAATCAGATTTTTTTTTCTGTTGAGTCGTATGAGTTCTTTATATATCTTGGCTATTAACATCTTATCAGATATATGATTTGCAAATGTTTCCTCCCACTCAATGTGCAGCCTTTCCATTTTGTTGATGGTTTCTTTTCTCCGCAGAAGCTTTTAACTTTGATGATGTCCTGCTTGTTTATTTTGCTTTCGTTGCCTCTGCTGTTGGTGTATTTAAAACACCCATCTCCAAGATCCAGGTCAAGGAGCTTATTGCCTGTTTTCTAAGAGTTTTATGGTTTCAGGTCTTTGAATCATTTTGAGTTAATTTTTGTATATGGTGTGAGAAAGTGGTGCGGTTTTATTCTTTGGCATGTGGCTTTCCAGTTTTCCTGACTCACTCTTCCGAAGAAACTGTTCTTTCCCTATTGTATATTCTTGGCTCCTTTGTTGTGGATTAATTGAACATATAGACTTGAATTATTTCTTTGCCATCTG